AACTAATCCTAACCTACGATAAAAGATGCCAATAGATCCAACGTTATATGATGGAAGGTAGCCTCCAAGAAACTCTGAAGTTATTTCTTTTTCTAATTGGTAATCATCACCAAGACATGCCTTATTCTTGAGGTGATAAGTGTTTCCTTCTCCCATGTTTCTTAGCTATATATATATATATATATATATATAGTATTTTGATCTCTACTCTGGATAGTCTAATTCCGAAGCTTTTGTTGCAGCGCTCGTCAACATTTTTAGTACTTAATTTGAGCACATATTTCTGAAAAAATATATATCACGTACAACCTGACAGTCCAGTACTTAGTGTGAATCAATAAATCGTATTCGAAAACACACCCATCGACCAACCAATAGAACAATCAAACAATAATTAATAATAGCATCACATCAGAGTGAATTAATGATCATAAAATGATTTTAAATAAAAAATATGAGCAGTTGTGAATAAATTAGCTTTGCACCTGTGTATTTAAGAAGAGAAACGAAACATTCATTTAGGAAATGAGCTTAGCTGATATGTAAAATTGTCTATTATTTAGTTATTGTTCCTTAAAATTAACGATATATTATATAATTAACATTATGTACATATTAATTTAAAACTGAAAAGCCGCTTTACTTTAAAACAGTCCCTGTTATTCGAATGAAAATCCTAGTAATGTATTGGATAAATGTAGCAAGTCATACACTACACCATTTAAAATACCCAGTCACGTTTCAACTGGATAATCATATACTGTCATTAAAACTATTTCAAATAATCTGTTGTTAGAAATCACATTGCGTACTAGTTTTAGTTAGGTAGGTGAAAACCAGGAAGCGGTGAGCGGCTTTTCCCCCTGGTATGGAACTCCTCAGCAGTCCACATCCATGAAACAGGGCCTCTAGTCTGATAAATGAACACTTAACCGATATACCACTGAGTCAGCATCCAGTGACGTACGTCCCTGCTTTCAACTATGTCGCTAAACTCTGCAACCATCCTCCATTGCTTAAGGCAGATAGTTGTTTCAGCCAGAGATGGCTAAACTCCACTAGTCACCACTTCTCCAGTGATACTTATGAGATCACTTTTTCAGGTGACTGTTTGACATAAGTTTAATCTATCTGGTGAAAATTTGAGAAATAGAATGCTTTTGTGTCTTCGTTCGAATAGATTTCTATTTCGAAATTTTTTAAACTTGATCAATTAAAATATATATTACTAATCAAAAATCTGGACTTACAATGGACGCAAAATAAATTTTGCTTTGTAATCGAAATTGATTAACTACTGGTAGGTAAATTACAAACAATCTTGTCATATTCTTAAGAGCCAGCTGCAAATATCATATTATAAATTATGGTCTACATTACTCAAATATTTATCGTTCGAAGGGGCCTCGTTACGTAATACGCCATATAATTTACTTCATGTATGTGTACCTCTACTGATTGCAAGGTCAAAGATCGTCAGTAGTCCATTAAGTGAAATTGTTCAAAAAGCCTACAGAGTACTGTCAAAAGATGGCTATTCGGTCAGGAGTACGAGCGAGGATAATTTAATCCCGAAAGCGACTTCAGCTTATTTGAACAACTATCAACAATAACCCTGCTCCTTCATGAACAATAAGGAGGTTAATGACATGCAATATAGATGTCTTCAGGTATGTAGCTAACGCTGGGTGGAAAGTGTCAAAAAATGTTTATCTAGCACATTGTCCTATACACTTCTTTAAAACTGTCTCTCTTTCCTTGGCCAGTTGACGAATCAAGTAATAAGCCAGACATCCACCACATCCGTTGTAAACCGGTATACAATATACTTTTCGTCGTTAGATCTACCACAGATTTCTTGAACAAACAGAACCCACAAACACAAAATAATTTGGACGATTATCACAAACAGAAGAGTCTAATAAAAAGCGATACCATTAGGTTGAGCTCGTTTGATAAGACCACGTCATCAATAAAAACAAGATGAGTAATTAAGCCAGTTTTTCAAGTAATAACAAAATATATAGTCTTACTCTACGTTTGAGGCAATAAGGGGTAACTGTTCCTTAGAAATTCATAAGCTAAGCTTTGATTCACCTTTTCTGATAAATGGCTGTAAACAGCAGAAAATTTTGGGCATTTAAGCATCTGCTACAGAAAAAGCCTACAACTTCCAGGCAAGATCAATATCTACACAGCAAGAGCTACAGCAGCTCAAACTAACCCAGTAGTCGAGGAACCGACACAGTGACTTGCAAAGTATTTCCAACTGTGGAATCGAATCGCAAAAATAAGACGTTGATCAGCTTGCAATCTAATCCAGGCGAATAAGGGATAGCCTAGTCAGTTAATGTCGACGATATTAAGTAATGCAGTCACTATAAAGGTCAGCAGTCATAGTTCCTACACATAACTTCAATAATATGTCTTAGTCGGAATCTATTTTGACTACACTTCCGTTTGAATCATGTCCCTTAACTTTCACACCAGACTTTTACATGGTTATCTAGCTTGTATTTCGTCACAAAGTTTTAAAATCACTCTTATGCAACATTTACAGTCCCCCTTCCCTAGTAAAATACTTTTCGTCCACAAATGAATTAACAAGCTATTTATGGAGCAATTCATCAGAGATTGTCGTTTATGGTAGCTTAGTCTAATTTTCAGGGCAAGTCTTGATCTTTTGACATCTTGAATTCATATTTCATTAAAAAGCGCCCACAAATGAATACCTTGAATAAACAGTCTATCGTTGATGCTGTTGGAATGAAAATAGTTCTAAAGAATAACTTCTATGATCATTATGTTATGTTTTATTTACTGAATGGCAAGTAAAACTATTCTTTGGTGGGAAAATATTTGTCACCTCACCTAATCATGAAAGTAAGACTGTTACAAATAACAAATTCAGCACTAAATAACTGGACTGCTTGAGTTGTAAATACATTTATTCACTTTATTAGGCATTAGGAAAGTTGTTATTCAGTTTGTGGATAAGTTTTAGTAACGGTTACGTTGGTGTTGGATAAAATTATTTCAATAGCCACGGAATTTATGGTTTTGATTGTGCTGAAAGCGATCCAAATTGTTTGCTTTATGCGGCTTAAACTTGCTTTAATTATATTTCGGTTATTTATTCACTTTGAAGAAATGACTTGCATTGTTAAGAAATATCAGAAATGCAATTTTCTACTCATTGGGACATGACAAAAAATACAACTATTATTAGTATCTTATACAAATATTCGTCAAGATTGAAATGAATAGTTTGACAGAAATTGGGCGCTGAGTAAATACAAGTCATTATATGTAAAAGTTATATTTTAAATAATCTCAGCGATTGAAATTTAAATAATTCCAACGTTTCGTCCAGCTAACTTGTCTTGACTTCTTTGATTATTACCCTGAAGAAGTCCAGACAAGTTAGCTGAACGAAACGTTGGAATTATTTAGATTTCAATCGCTGAGATTATTTAAAATATGATTTTCACATATAATGACTATTATTAGTATCTATAGAAGCCATAAAATTGGCCAAAACCCACGTGGATGTCTTGAGAGAAAGCCTATTGTAAAATCTAAGGTCTGCATATTATATTGGTCCTCGCTGATCCATTACTATTTCATGAACATAAGACAGCGCGATGTGTTATTTGTTGTATCTCAATATCAAGTATTTATCAATGTCTTGTTGTCTCTTAAGCAGGTTAATTTTTACGATTGCGAAAAGAAAAACAAAGGTAAACGACCACTTATCCAAATATCTATCCGCGCAACGCTTTGTAAAGTGTTATAGAGTGTTTGACAAACAAATGTATTACATATTCACTTTGTTTCTATCTCAAAAACAATATATTCGTTTTGGACAAACTAAAGGGGACAGGAAAAACCTTTGATGCAACATTTGCATATTACGTAAATGAAGTGTGATAAAGAATTTTATCTAAATGTACTTAAAATAGGACGCACATTTCCCATTAAAGATGAACATCGTTAGATATGCTGCCATAACTTAAAGTAAAATAGGACAGAAAAGGATGCTTTGATCATGTGGTCTAGAATGTTGACTAAACAATTAACATGCATCGTTGTAATCTGGAACTATTAATTAATGATTTATAAATTAACATTAAAATAAGCAGTTGAGTAGTAAAGTCTAACTTTCCCATATGCTAATAGACTAAAAATAAGACTAAAATGATAAAAATATGGTAACATTTAACAGGTTATTGGTGTATTGCATCGTAGTTTAAGCATCTGAAATTGTTGATACTGAACGAATAGTAGTTACTATAACACAGTAACAAAAATGACACATTACAGCTTTCTTAAAGTTGATACTTTCCAAATGTCTCTTAATTAAGGTATACATTACTTCTTTCAAACGTCAACAGCAATACAGTTGTTGAGGCACGTCTTAGCAGCCTGAATAATCGACCACTTTCAGGTATCCCATCGAAACAGTTTTATCAAAACGCGAGCATTAAAGGAGTTTTAATATCTCGGATAAAAACTATGACTGATGCTTTAAGAGTTGATATTGGTTTCTGTGAAGTATAAACAGCTTTAGTTGTTTCTGTAGCAGCAAGACTTTGGGGTGGGATTTAAAAGTTAAGCAGGTGCAAACAGTTAGTTGTTTGAACCATTCTGTTATTTAGGAAGGTGAATAAAAGACGATAGTTGTATTTCTCAAAAACAATAAACATAACTCATATGAGCTTAGTCATCGACTTATCTAAAACCGCCCTTAAAATTTACGTTCCAGGATGTTATGGAACATTAACTCACAGTTACATTTAATAAGTAAATGTAAACCTAATTTTCACTCCACATTTTATTCTGAAGGCAGTTACGTGAAGTGGTACTATAATGTTTCACTAATCTATCTAGAAACTACACACTTACATTAAGCAACAAAAACAGCCCTACAAACAGTGAACAGATATCATAACACGAAAAAAATGTGTAAAGTGCATGACAAATGACAGCCACAGACTTACTTTGTTGTCTGGCATCAATAAGCCAATATAAAAAGGTAATATTGCAACGACATCTATTATACTCATCACAGATATAAAAAACTTCCATCTATTTGGCGCAGCATACATTCTTGCGCAGTATTCTACAGTGAATATGACTACACATGCTGTGTCGAGGCATGAAAAAGCATCTATGTACCGGTCGCCACAAGCCCGTTGTTTACTTAGTCCAGGTTCTGGCCCACAAGGTATAGTCTCCGTAATATTGGCAAACACGGAAACAGCAATAAAAAAGCCGGTTACGTAGTAAATGACGATTGCAGTAGTAGAAAACTCTGGGTTTTCGAAGGCCTGCCAAAGTCTGTTACGAAAATCCTTTGGTACTTCAGCATTCTCTTTGGTTGAGGATCTTTCCTCCAGAAGACGCTCTGAATTTTCACGTTTACTGTCATGGTAATCTTCGTAGCAGCAATCACCTAGAGCTTCTGATGCTATTCGAAAGTAGGCAAGTTCATCTTCATACTGCATGACACATTCTTTCTTAGGATAATGGAGGTGCCCGCAACGATAATAAGTCAATATATGTCGAAATATTTCAGGGTCTCTATCAAAGTAATATTCGCCACTATTCTCATCATAAAAGTAATCACGCTCATCTGATCCAAGCAAAGTATGCGGATACTGATTCAAACTGCTTGTAAGTACTTCAAATCTCTGACCGCTTACATTAATAATTGCCTTCTTCTCATAAATATCTTGATTTGAATCATCCTTTGTGCACACATTTTTCGGAAGACGATGTTGAGCGATCGGTACCCATCCAATCGCTGAGGCTCTAACGAGAGGTAACCAAGCAGAAGCCTGAGCCATATCACATATCTGAGCCATTAAATATCACTTCATGAACCAGTGTACGACTCCCAATAATCCACCATAATTGTCCTAGTTATTAAGTGATGATGTACAAATTAAATTTTTAAATTCTGTCATGTTCCAGAGTTGACACAAAATAAAAAAGTACATGCGCGTATTCACAGAACGATCGCTCACAATTATGAATACTTATCACTGAAAAATTTGTGATTGTTGACACAAACAAACAAACTCGTGCTTAGTTTAAAAAGTTCTGAATTTCGCGATAGTTTCACCTGTTTCATATTACTCCTGTTTAAAAATGTATTCTCCATGATGATGCAGTAAGCAAATGGATTGAATTACAGTGAATTTTCAGGATCGAGTTTCGCCTTTCATACACGACTCATAAAACGCGGTTGCTAAACTGCTAGCTAAGGAGCTTAGATCAAGTTGTTCTCCCCGCATTGGACTTTTCTTCAGTGACTGCTAATTTATCTTTTACTACGCTAACCTAGGCATCATGAAGTTTGAGCTTCTCGAATCCAACAAGATTTTATGGCACTTGAACCCACACAATTCGGCAGATTAAACGGAATATAGCCCACAGTCTAGTCTAATTCATTCTTGCTACTCCCACCAGACATTTATTGCCAAATTCGAGCTACTCTTTGACTGAAATTGAAACTTCTTCACTACACAAAAACAGTAGCAAGTCGGACGTTTACAGTCATAGAATCAATTTTCTGCATCACAATAAATGACTTGCCTCAAGATATAATGTTTGGACGATACGTGTCCTTACTGTTTATAGGCAATTTGCCTAGAATCTCTGCTTATCAAGCCCTCAAATTCACAGATGATTTTGAGAGTAGCATAGAGATAACAGGGTTAACTTACTTCTTGTCCCTTCAGAAGTTTATGACAGATATAAGACTAGACTGGTGGAAACCTCTCGATATCTGAGAAATACTAATGGTGAGAGGTAATATTATATCCACCCCATATTCTTTAAATTGCCTCAATATCACAATCTCCACAACAGAAAGTATCTTAGGCATCATCTCCATGATACATAGTGTAACTGCACCAATGGTGGCCCAGTGGTCGACAAAAAAAACATCTGGTCATAACGGTTTGGGAGAAACGTTTGTGTTATTGAGGTCTACTGTTGCAAATCGCCAACCACATCTCATGTTTACTATCTGACATGGATTGCTTATTCATCTCATTCAGGTACCATGGCTACTTCGATGGCTGGACAAGATCAACAGTGTTATTACAGAAATGTATCAGGAAGAGCGGGTGTATAAACAGAGTGAGACCACTGCCGCATAGGCCAGTCCATAGCGTGCAACTGACATATGTACGTCCGTTGTCTTTGACCTTGATGAAGATTTATAAACTGTAAGATATCCAGTGACCAAAATGTCGGCTGGTTTTGTTAAGAACCAGTAACATTTCACTGATCCTACACTGTCCATACGCCTTCCTGTCTAGCAAAATAACGAGTTGAGAAGATTGTCACAAAAAGCATTTGGAAATAAGCAGGACATAAGTGAGCATGATGGAGAGTTGTGTTATCTAAATGACATAGTCGGGGTTAGTACAGCAGTGACCCGAAGAATCAACTTGAATAAATGGTTTTCTGAATCCATTGGAGGTTCAGTGAAGTGCCAAATCATCAGGCAGTCAGGTCACTGAATATCGAACAGTTCACTTATCCCGGTCAATGACAACCAACTCGCATCAGTTAATCGCACGGCATAGACTGGCCCATGTGCAGTGGTCACACTTTCTCCGTTGTACCCACACTTACCGATATATCCATGTAATAAAGTCGTTTCTCTTGTACAGTTATCAAAGTAGGCGTACTACCTGGACACAAGGAATGGGTAATCATTAGTTCATTCAAGCACCACATCCGCCACAGCCTAAATTGTAGTGTAAGTGTCTGTAATTGATTGTAGGTCTTCTCAACTTCATCCTGTGCCTGCCCGACATTGTGTTGGATAAAAACTATGCAGTATCTAGAATGTGCTCATTATTATTAAAATTAACAACCGAAATCGGAACAGACTCACCTGGAATTTTATACAATCAGCATGCCGATTTTGTAATGAAATCATTAATATCTAGAATTCGAACCATAGATTTTTCAACACTATCCTCCACCACGAAATAATGTTGGATTTTTATATCCCCAAGTTATGAATGATGTGGCTTCATTTAAAACGTATTTCTCACATTAGTTAAAGTGAACATAAGAAGTGACTTTGTGATAAGTATAAACAGCAGTTGATATGAAGTCATCCGAATAGTAATCGAAATCGAGCTCATTTAGTACATGTGCTTCGCATTGAACAAGTTTCCCACAAGAAACAAATGCATTATGAAGACAAATAATATTTCGTAGAACATCATGATTTGATTCTTCGGAAATAGTTTCCTCAAATTTATTAAGAATGTCATTGCAGAGTAAACAATCTTCTAAAGGAGTCTATTACTTATTTATCCACGTCTGTTGCACATTTTTATATTGATATTTTCCAATATATGATATTCTGGCAACAACTTGAGATGACGGATAAAGATAAAAATAGTACCAATATAATAGACTCCGATGTACGCATATCGAATATTAGACGTCTTTCATTCGCATGACGATATATTCCACGCTTTATTCGAAAAACTTCCCCAAATAACTATTCTCACTGACCTGGCTGCTTGGTATGGAATTCATACGCACTACCGTCTACCAGCCAGCTTCAAATGGTTTAGTTGAACGATTTCATCGCCAACCTAAAAGTGCTCTACGAGCACACGGAAACGGCAACTGGCGCGAAACCTTACCTCTCGTTCTCTTAGGCATCAGAACGAGCTTGAAGTCAGGTATCCAATGTTCCGCCGCTGAACTGATATACGGCACGACGTTGCGTCTGCCTGGGGAATTTTTCACACCACGGAGCGGTAACGATTTCAATAAATCAGACTACGTCCATCGACTGTCTGAATTTATGCGAACACTGCCTCCGGTGTTAACTCGAATACAACATCGACAGGTCACTTTCCCTAGAGATTTATCTACCTGTTCACGTGTTTTCATGCGAGCAGATTCGGTACGCAAACCACCGCAACAGCCTAACAAAGAACCCTTTCATGTGATTTCTCGTCACGAAAAGACCTTCAAAGTTTATCGACATGGCCGCGTCGAGATCGTCAGCATTGATCGTCTCAAACCAGCACACGTCGATGACAGTGCCCTACCTGATAAGCTGAGACTCAATGCTAGACCCATGAAACCTGCTAGCGGGATCCCTAAATCTACTCCAGATCCCACGCTAGATACTCCAGAGACCTCATTCTCACATCCCAGTCAACAGCACGTGCCATCTGCACCATCTAGGGACGAGACTTCAGTCTCACGCCCAGATCAGCAGACCACGCCGCCCTTGACTTCGGATGAGATAGCAGGCTCGCGAAGTGCAAACGAGACTACTGTCTCACGTTCCGGTTGCCGAATACGCCTAACCCCACGCTTTTGCGACTAAACGCACAATCAACAACGGATGTAGTGTAGGACTATTTCTATACTACATGCATGCTACACCTTTTTTTCTTAGATTTTTTTGTATCCTGAGCCCACGCATCCGACCATCGCCCGTTTGGTACCGTTGACTTCAGTCAACCTTGGCGAAAGCTGGTCTGATCACCCACCCTCTTGTCAACGCACTCAGTCAATATTCTGGTTTTGAATCTGTTTAGCACACGTTTGGTCTCGCAATTGGTTGTTGTGGTCACTTCTAGTTCCGTGGCTCAGCGTGGTTCCGTCTTACGTCTGCAGCGTTTAGTGCCCGCACCACTACGAACGCAATCCTCAGATCCTGGATACGAACCACCCTGGTGTGGTACGCCAACATAAGCAACAAATACAGCACGTTTCTCCTGGTACCGTTCTAAGTAAAAGACCTTCGGTTGCAACTCGAGGATCAACGATCGCTTCCTGTTCCGTCAACCCTTTCGTCCTACAATCGCACGTTTGCCATTCAGTCCCACGAAAGAAACTGCTACCTATCGAAAGTTTAAACCCTTTCTAGCGGTATGCTTCTGTAGTGACCTACGTTTATCAAGCGAACGGGACTGGTTTAATGGAAACAATCATTATAACCAATTATACTAGTGATTGTTTTACTGTGCTTGTTTGTCTAACTGTACTAAAGAAACTCTTCCTTCCGTTGCTTGTGACCTTGCACGCACTGACGTTTGCTCAGTGATTGCGCTTGTACTCTTTGGGCACGATCTCGGTACTCTTTCGATACCACGAGATCGCCAACTAATATATCTCGCTACAACCTCTAATCGCCTACTGACATCTAGTACGCAACCTTCTTGTAGTGGTGATCTTAGTCAACCGCTACTCGACGCCGCGCTACATCCTCATGAATCATTTCACGAAATCTTCCTCCTCTACCAAATTCGAAATTTGTACACTTAACATAGTCCAGCAGTAGATCCTTGGGAGTTGTATAAGAAATCGAAGTGGGCTTTCCCGGTAAAGCCAGAGTTTTCATTAAGCTATGTGCTTCTTTTCCAATGAATGTGAGGAAATGTGCTACAATATTAACATCCTGTGGTGCTTGAATGAACTAATGATTCCTTTGTACTTGTTGAATGCTTGATTTCGAATTCCAAATACAGTACATTCGTTAGTGCTTATCTAGTACTTCTTGATCGGATTACGTTATTTCTGAGATTCTTAGTTCATACTATAATTCAAATACTTCTAATTATCATACATCCTCATCATCTTCCTTCATCATAGCGCAGATTTCAAACCCTTCAAAGTAATCCTCAAAAGCATCAAAATCTGAATGTTTGTCCAACCGTTCCATCACAGGCTCAATCGCGACGCCAATATGATGATTAGAAGTATTTGAATTATAGTATGAACTAATAATCTCAGAAATAACGTAATCTGATCAAGAAGTACTAGATAAGCACTAACGAATGTACTGTATTTGGAATTCGAAATCAAGCATTCAACAAGTACAAAGGAATCATTAGTTCATTCAAATACCGCACTAATCTACATGAGCTTACGTAGAAGTTACACTGTAGTCCACGCTGACTCGTCCTACGTGACAGTCAGAATTATAACGTCTAACACCTTGGATAAACAATATCTGGACTGAGTAGAGAACAATATTTTCAATATAA